TTATTGAAAGGTGAAAAAAGAAAAGAAAAGAAAGAAAAAAAAAGGAATAAATTAAAAAATTAATTAAAAGATATAAAAATCAAAAAAGTAAATATAAAACAAGGTTAAAAGATTTAAATAAGTATAGATTAAAAAAATAAAAAAAAAATAAATACATTACACAAGCTAAAAGAAAAAAATGTTCGAAAATAGTGAATAAAAAAGGTACGGCAATCAATCAAACTTTAGAGTCTGAGGTAGCGAGGTGGCGTGAAATATTGCGCTTTATTTTAGATGTAACATTGTTTCTCTCATCACGAAACATGGCGTTTAGAGGTAAACTTTGTTTTACTTAGCTATTGATATTTATTGTATAAAAAATCTTTTTTACAGATTCTTGTGTCATTAACATGTCAAACATCTGCTCTAGGAGCTCTAGACACGATTTCAAACCACAACAAAACGTTAAAAAACCATCTAGAAAACAAAGCTCGTCACCAAAAAAGAGGGAACTTGAATGCAGGCACATTACCTCTCATGGGAATCACAGAATGAGTTCATACGTGAGTGTGCTTCATTGGTTCAGTGTGTCCTTTTAAAGGAAGTGAGAGAAGCTGGATACTTTACAACCATTATCGATGGAACCCCAGACGTTTCACACACTGAACAGATCACTTTTATTCCTCTCTTTGTTCATTTCAGCTTTAACAAAAAAAGCTAGGAGATAAAAGAGCGCTTTCTTTGCGTTGAAGACATGGAAAAAAAAAAAAGAAGTGGACATTGCAAAACTATTTTGTGATGTTTTAATAAAAGTAAGTCTTGACTTGCAGAAATGTCGTGGACAAGGTTACGACAACGGCTCAAATATGGCTGGAATTTACGTTGGAGCACAAGCTTTAATTTTACAGAAAAATCTATTAGCCCGCTATATTCATTGTGGTTCCCATAGTCTTAATTTAGTTGGAGTACATGCAGTTGAATCTTGTGCTGAGAGAAGAACTTTCTTTAGTAATATCCAAGCTCTCTACGTGTATTTCAGATGCAGTCTAGCGGTGGAAGATTTTTCAAGAATTGACTAGAATCTCTCTTCATAAGCTTTCCGATACCAGGTAGTCAGCTCGGATTGCCACTGTTAAGCTAAAAGCAAAACAACCACGGGAAATAATTATTGTACTATAGAGGATCTTGACCTTACTGCTGACATGTTAAATCAAGTCTTTGATAAAGTTTTTTAAATCCTTTGAAACTGTTGTACTTCTGACCTTTTGGTATAAAGTTCTTCTAGTAGTAAATGAAGTAAGCCGTTTGTTCTCGTCAACTTCACCAACAATAGATAACGAAGTTATTCTAATTCAACAGCTAATAAGTGATCTTGACCATATCCGCTCATCATGGAATAATATTTTTACTGAAGCGAAACCTGTTGCAGGTCCTCTAGGGTTTGAAACGGAATTTTTGACAAAACAAAAGAAAAGAGCAAAACCGTATCAAGATGAACTTGTAAATGCAACTTTCTATTATAAGATCCCCGAGCATCATTTTGAGGTAAACATCTTTAACGTTGTTCTTGATCATTTTATTTATCAAGTTCAGTTAAGATTTGACATAGAAAAAGTATTTCCTCAAGATTCTCATTCATCTGGTTGAAAGACCAAGAACCAGATTCTCAAGAGATAAAAGCTCGTAAATTAGCACAGTTCTACGGTAATGATTTCAAAGAAGACGACTTCATAGAAGAAATTTTGCATCTTAATTGTTTGAAGGAGTCTTTGTTTTTTATTCTTGGAAACTCATTGAGCTTTTTCAACCAAATACATTCAAAGAGTCTGCAGCCTATTTTTCCATATGTATGCATCTTAATTCAAATTTTTAATACATTGCCAGTATCTGTTGCAGAGGGTGAGCAATCCTTCAGTAAACTTAAATTGATAAAAAATTATTGTAGGGTCAATATGGGACAAGAACGCCTTTTGGATCTCATGATGCTTTCAGTGGAAAAAAAGTTAGCTAAGACTCTGTCATATGATGATATAATAACAAATTATGTCGGTAAAAAAGCAAGAAAAGAGTGTTTTATATAAGCCGTTTTTTTCTTATTTGAATTTCTATAGAATGTCTAATAATGCACTTATGTTGTATTTGTGTTGCTTAGTTGAATTTTTTTAAAGACGCAATGTTTGAAAATATTGCCGTAAAATGCTTTTAACAAAAATAAACCACAATTAAGAAAATTCATTTTAAAACTATGTGCACTTATGTATATGCAAGACTACATTTGCTAAAGTTTTTTTTAAATGATGTATCTTTAAAGGAGCGCCTTCTAAACGCTATGCCCCGGGCGCCATAAAAGCTCTCGGCGGCCCTGTACCCATGGGAGACATAGTCTATGTCTCCCATGGGTACAGGGCCGCCGAGAGCTTTTATGGCGCCCGGGGCATAGCGTTTAGAAGGCGCCTCTTTAAAGATACATCATTTAAAAAAAACTTTATCTAATGTAGTCTTGCATATACATAAGTGCACATAGTAGTTACAATTATGTTATTTATTTTCCTTTCAAAAGTTTATTTGAAAGGAAAATAAATAACATAATTGTTAGTTTTTTTTTACGAGTTTTTGCGCAAATGTATTTATTATTTATAAAGAAAGGAGAGAAAGTTTAAACCTGTATGGGGGCTATAACACCATGCCTCAAAGATTAAGGAGCCCCAAACTTTTTTAGAAGACGCTTTATTTTTGTAAATATTTTTTGCCACTTTGATACAAAAAAAGTTCACCTGTTCAGGAATATTCTTTGACTCTGAAAGTCGCGTATGTCTAGTGACCAAAAATACTTTTGCCACTGTGTGATATAACCTGAGCTGTAGCGTAAAAACGATTTATAAGTAGATCAAGAAATAAAAGTTGTGGTATTTATGAGCCTGGACACAAAACTACTCTAAAACATTTACCATCCCTAATCTAAATGTAGTGGCAACAAATTAGTAATTTTTGTTATTTAAAAAACATAACACAAATTTTACAAAGTAAAACAAAAGTACATCGTAACAACTAGTTACGATGTACTTTTGTTTTACTTTGTAAAATTTGCTATGTTTTTTAAATATATTATTTTTAGGTAAGTTTACTTCATAAATAACTTTTTTTACATATAAAAAGTAAATTACATTTCGATGTAAATTTTTTACATAATTATAACTAAAATTACTTTTCAAAGTAATTTACTTTACACGACTTTCCATTAAAAGTAAGTTACATTTACAAATAAAAGTAAAAATGCAAATAACTTTTAATTGCAAAAGTTATTTGCATCATTACTTTTTCAAGTAACAGTTACTCATTTAGAAAATCTAACTTAGATAATTAAGTTTTACACGTTATATAATTTATGTAAAAAAAAAACGAATTACCTTTAAATGTAAGTAAATTATATATTTTCATATGAGTTATATAAAGTAATTTACGCCTTAAATAGTTCGCGTTTTTACATCAAAATAAGTAAAAGTGCCATCCTTACTTGAGAGTTTCTTCAAACACGCTTCTCAAACCCTTATTTACAGGTGCAACTGTCAAGCAGTTTGTGTCTTGCACCTTTGAATATGTTCGCATCATAATTTTTCCGATTGATACTTTGAAATAGTTTTAACTATATTTTTCATGATAAGAGCGAATTATCTTAAACATCCTTGTACTAAATCACTTTTGATGGCTGATAGATACAACGGTAATAAGAGTTCTGCGGTTGTATGTGGCAAGTGAGGATGCATCAATTAATCTGAAATGTTCAGTCACCTTTTTCGTGAGTGTTTATTCACCTGTTTGGTTCATTATTAAGATACATCCATCATGAAAAGATGGTGAAAAATATCTTTTAAAGTTATTTAGCAGTCCGTTACTTGACGCAGGTATTGCAAGATATAGTAGTTCTTGTGTTACAATGGGCTTGCTACTTTGATCATCTAGGGAATCTTTTATTAACAACAAAAGTGACAAACGCAGAATACTTGTCAATTAGGAGTGAGGGGCATTATTAAAGCGCAACTGGATTCACACACTGCGTACTTTCAGTTTACCATAGCTTAATTTAGATGCCCATGATTATGCGAAACTTAAAAGCTGGTAAGACTTATATAACCAAGCTAACATTGAGAGCTAATGTGTCTAAAGATGTTTAATTGTTTATGGAAAATGGTAGACAATTTATTTGTAGAAAATGGTAGACAATTTATTCAATTACGTTTACATGCACGTTTTGTAATGCAAATGTTTACTGCAAATTCAAAATATTGAACTTCATAATCATAATAAAAGATTTTCTAAAACTGGATAATGGATACTCCAATAATTTGTGGAAAAAAATTTCACTGCATATATTATTTTAATTTAGACCTAGACCTTCGCGACTTGCTAATCTGTAAATTGAAACTTTAGCGAGTTATTTTTATTGTGCTAGTTTCATGGTTTTAAGTAATCGTTTACTGTAATTACTATTATAAAAGTGAAATAAAACTGAATAAAAGAATAGCTTTCAGAATAAAAAAGTTTAAGAATTATGACATGTCGGTAAACACGATAATTAGTTTTTTGTGACTTGTTGGTAAATACAATAACTGGTTGAAAATTTCTAATTTTTATCAAATAAAAAAAAATTTTAATAACCTATTTGCTATTCTTTCTAGTTTATGCGGTTTATTCAAATAGGGTTTAAACATTTTACTCTTTGATATAAAAAAATTATGACTAAAATAGGCAACTTTTATGAAAAACTTTTGATCCCCCACAGCTGAAAACAACAACATTTTAGAAATCTTAATTACTTTGAGGCCAAACCAAAAATTAACTTTTAGTTTCTATTTCTTATAACACTTTTACTTTTGTTTTTTTCACTGCACCCTTATAAATATGTATTAGTTACTCTATAAGTTAAAAGTTTTAAGGTAAAACCGAAAAGTGATAAATGAGATGGTAAAACTGAAAAGTTATAAATGAGAAAAGTAATAAATGAGAAAAAAAGATTGTCTTACAAAATTCTCCAATATATTTTGTCAAACAAATGCAAAAAAAGGTGTTTTGACTATAGTCAGGTTGGCAGGTACCATTGTTTTTGCAAGGTGATCTATCACACGGAATACTCTAAAGACATGTTTAAGTATTTGATGGAGGTAACAAAAATGTAAATAAAAAAATATCTTTAAAACTTTAAAATAAAGCTCTAACCTGTAAACTTACGTGAGCCCATCCAACTATTTTTTCGAGCTGATTTGAATTGAAATATTTGTTTTCTGATAACAATTGACATTGAAACACATTTTGACTATCTTTAAAAATATTATATGAAGTACAGTTTGCAGTTTTAGAGCATTTGTTTATACATTGCGATTGATGTGAAGCACTCATGTTAAGGAGTATAACATTGGACACTAGACGAGTTTCTGCGGTTCTACTCATAGATATAAAAGTGACATTTCCTTTAACATCATTTGATTTAATCAAGGATGAAAATTTGCATTCACGATAAGAAATAAAAATGATAAAAAAAAAGAAGTTTAAAATTAAATTGAAAAAAAAACTTTTTTTAATAATGTATTCCATAACTGGTAAGCGATTTATTTTCACTTTATCTTTTGTGTTCTTCTAAACATTCATTTGTTCATCGCTACTTTTTTTGTTTCCTAATAAGATTAAAAGTTATTACAGCAAGAGTAATAAAAAATTGTAAAATAAAAACCCTAACTACTAAAATTAACTATATAAAAAATTATTTATGAGTTGAAATAAATATGTAACCATAATAAATATTATAATATTAATACTATATAATAAATATTAAAATATTAAAACACAGTTTTGCTTGCTATGGTTTTATAGATTTAAGTTTATTTATTATTTTTCATTTTAAGCTTATTTATTATAGTTTTTCATTTTAAGTTTATTTATTATAGTTTTTCATTTTAAGTTTATTTATTATAGTTTTTCATTTTAATTTTTTTAACTTCAACTATTCCGTACATTTTAACGCCTAATTTTTTTTAAATTTGAAAACTGTAAATTATAATTTTTAAAAACCTATTACATTATACTTAAAATGTATTATACTTATTAAATTATACTTAAAAAGTTATTTGAAAATATAATCTTAATACTAAGAATAAATTTGCTAGATTCTTTGCGATAACTAAACAATGATACTGAAAAAAAAAGTTATTCACATTATTCACAAGGTTCCAAAATTGTGTACCTTTCAACATAAATTAATATTCATGTTAAAAATCTTTTCAATCTTGAATATAAATATTTTAACAGTAAATTGAGAAACGAATATTAATGCGTAAACGTGGTTGCGCAAATACGGTGTAAAAATTTTTTATTCATATAATTTCGGCTACGACTTTATATGAATGAATTAGAAAATAATGAATAAACAATATTTTTATATTCTTGTTGAAACATGTAAACCCGAAAAGTTATTGATTGTTGTACAACTTTATATAGCAATAATAAAAATAATAATAAATAGAAGAATTAGAAATAGCAATTAAATCAATTAAAAAGAACAAGTCTTCAGGTATTGACAACATTTCTAGTAATGTTGTACTTAACCTTTTTTCTGTTAAAAAAAGCCTATTTTAAACATCTTTAACTCGTCAATTATAACAGGGATTGTTCCTGACAAATTGAAAATAGCAAAAACTTTATCTTTATATAAAGCTGGAGGTACATCCAATTTAAATAATTATAGACCAATTTCAATTCTTCCTGTAATTTCTAAACTCCTTGAAAGAATAATTTACAACAGAGTCTATATATATCTAACAGAATACAAATTTTTAAGCGTCAATCAATACGGCTTTCAATCAAACACAGCAATCAACCGATCATGCATTTTAGACCATGTTAACAACATTAGCATATCTTTCGAAAGTCAGAAATTTGTATTAGGAGTCTTTAATAAGGTATTCGACATAGTAGACCATACAAATTATACTGAAAAAAATGGAAAAGTATGGCATTAATAATCAAACCAAAAAATGGTTAAAAACTACCAACATAATAGAAAAAAATGTGTTATTATGGATCACATTAATAATTCAAAGCAGTTACAAACAAAATGTGGTGTCCCTCAGGGATCTATTTTAGCTCCTCTACATTAACAACCTTCCTAAAGTCTCATCCAAATTAGATCGCATAATTTTTGCAGATGATACCAATATGTTTTATTCTTCAAATTCTATTAACGACCTCTTTTTAAGCGTAAATTTAAAACTACAAAAACTTAACTCATGGTTTAGAGCTAATAAATTGTCATTAAATTCAAACAAAACCAAATACATTTTATTTCACCCTACCAATAAAAAGAAAAATCATTACCATCAACCTTACCTGTTTTCAGCATAGACAACTCAACTATTGAATAAATCATTCATCTAAATTTCTTGGTGTACTTATTGATGAGAACATATCTTGGAATTCTCATATAAACGCTATTAATACCAAAATATCTAAAAACATTGGTCTACTTTTTAAAGTAAGACCTTTTCTGTCTTAAGATAATTTAAAATTACTTTATTTTTCATTTATACACTGCTATCTATATTACGCCAATATTGCATGGGCTAGTACCCATAAAAGTAAGCTATTTTCACTATATCGACGACAGAAACATGCTTCTAGAATGATATTTTATAAAGATAAGTTTACTTAGGTAAGTCCATTACTTAAACAGATGAATGCTTTAAACATTTATCAAATCAATATATATCAAAATATATTGATTATGTTCAAACATAGAATGGGAATTGTCCCAAGTCAATTCAAAACAACTTTTTTAATGCTAATATAAATAAATTTAGAACTAGAGCAACTGGAAACTATATTGTGCATATGAAAAAACACTCTCCCAATTTTTTGCAGCTTATCGTGGCCCTTACTTATAGAACAAACTAATTCCAAAAAATTCACCAGTTTTTCTTGTAGAAAATATTAATTTCTTAAAAACTAAATTAAAATAACTTATTCTAGAAAAAAATAATTACATGGAAATATTCTAATTTATTATGAATAATTAGGAAAACAATAATGTAAATAAGATAAAATAAAACAATAGGAAAAACTTAAAAAAAAAAGTAAACTTAACTTGTTAATAGTATTTATAACAATAATATAGTATTTCATGAAATTAATAATAAGGGTTCAGGATGACAAGATTTACGCAGTTTTCAGCCAGTTTCCCCCTGACTACAAAATTTAAGCTAACTTATTTTTATCCCGTTTCTTTTTCACAATACAGTTAGTAATATTACTTTAATTTCCTTACCTAAAATATATCTCAAGTATTTTGATTTCTCTAGTTATATAAGAAGTATTTTTTTGAATTTATTTGTTGTAATATATTATGTATTGTAAAAAATTGTAAATACTATGTAGTTTTAAAAATATATAAATAAAAAAATAAAAAATATTTACAAGTTTATTGTCATAAAAATTATAAATAAAATACTTAAATGAAAATATTCAGCGCCATATGATCAGAGCCATGCATAATAAATGGACCAAGACCTTTTTGTCAGAAAATTGTATAAATGTTACCTTAAGACGACAACAAAATAGGAAAATATTTTTAGATAAATTTAAATAACTTCAAGATTATATAAACTATCCGATAAATGATAAATTTCGTTTTTCGTTAAAACATAACAGCCATTCAGGTTAACTTTGAATGCTTTGAATGTCTTCATCTTTTCTTTGTTTTAATATTATCTTGACGTTTTTTTTTCTTATTCCTTAAAGTATGCTTTTACACAACTAACACACATATGTCGATAAAACGTTAGAATAATGTTGTGGGTTGCGTTGGCTCAACATCGACCGCTAACGTTGTTTTTACATCATTTTGGTTATAAATTGTTGACGTCGCCAACAACCAAAAAACAATGTTGGTATTTTAAGTCGGCATTGCGTAATGCTTTACGTTGATTCAACGTTGCACTTTACGTTAGAAAAAGGTTGAATTTTACGTTAGCAAAACGTTGCATTTTAAATTGATTCACCATTAAATTTTACGTTTGCGCAACTTTATATTTACCTTTTATCGGAATTTATTTAATTTGTTTTATGTTAAGTATATACATACAAACATAAAATATTACAACGTTTGGTATTGTGGTTTGTCCTCCTCCGGCTAGTTGCCATATAGACGCCACATTACCAAGGACAAATTCGGCTCCCCAAGGAGCGTCATAATCCGCTCTACGGACCAAGAGTAAGGCGATTTTGGGAAGAACAAAGATATGTATGAGTGAAAGATAGTTGCGTTAGAAAGATAGCATAGAGAAAGCGGACAGGATTGCACACGATGTTAGAAGGTGTAATACGTTAATATACATATAATTGACTTGAACCAATTATTGTATCAAGTCTTAATTTAAACCTTTTTCTAATTAAGTTTAATTAAAAATTTTTATTAATTATTATTATTAACATTAATTATTATTATTAACATTATTATTAAAGACTTAATTATTAAAATAATCTAAAGTTTTGCGCTTATATAAATGTATATATTTATGCATACATACATATTTCCGGATATTGTGACAGAATTGCTTATGGCATACGTTAATTATACTTTAGCGTCTGAATAAAGACGCATTATTCATGTTTGTTTTGCTTGTGGCTTGATATTTCATAACATAAAAAAAAGAAAAATTTATTAGCAAAATATGTTTCCATAATCAACTGAAATATTTAAATGAGAAATAAGTCTCATAAATTATACAAATGTGTGAAAACGCACTGTATAAATTCCGACGTTGTTCCAATGTATGCATATACATTAAATCAACGTTGGTTTATACACATTGAATCAACGATAGGTTTTTTTTTTTTTATTTGTTATTTAGGTGCCCAAAGAAGTCCTAACGGTCTTGTCACAGAGCACCGCGGAAGTGCATTTAACCACGCCTCCTTCCTTACCGTGACGCGATATAACATTAACATAGGTTAATAACATTAAATCAACGTTGGGTAAAAAAATTCAAACTTTTGCAATGTTTTTACATACATTGGATCAACGTTGATTTATATTTTAGTTTAGTTTAGTTTATTCAGTAATTGATCATAAAATTGCAGCAAAAAATTATAGCCAAAAATAAAATGAAAATGATCAATGAAGAGGGTTAGTACCAGGCTTCTCTGTTCTGACAGTCTTGTGCTGCATACAAAGCAGCGATAGTTAGATAAAAAAAAGTTTTTAAAGCATTTGATACTTTGCAATGGTCTTTATAATTAAGATTTAATGTATGAATATCATCAACATATTTTCCAAAAGATTCTCAAATGTTAAGTTGAATATCTATATTTTTGAAATTGGATAAAATTGGAGAAACATGTCCCGGGTCAAATGGATATATGCCAGTAGCCTAAAATCCTGCTTATAGATTATGTTTTAGATTTTCTTTACCGACATTAAAAGTAGATTTAATGAGCTAAGAAAACAAACTTTTTTGATAGGGTTTTACTCAGGGTGTTTTACGCCATTGATTAAGAACTGACCTCTAGTTAGCTTTTAAAAGCGAGAAATATCCAACATCTAGAGGTTGTAAAAGTTGTTTGGAATTGGGTACGAAACATATAAATGTTATATTATGCATTTCACGTATATTTAGGGCGTTTAAAG